ATAGCCATACTAAATAATGACAATTTCGCCTGTCTTGGCGTTTGTGAACGTCGACTGAAAAATAAAATAAGGTTATAGTCACCCTAGACCGATGTAGTCTAATTGTAGCGAACAGCTCAGGTGTGGGGTGTCATCCCCGTATAGATCTATACACAAAACCCCGCTCTCCCTCAAGGAGACTCTAATTATAATTACAGACTACGATCATACACTCAATAGGTGTCAACCGACAAAAACTCACTAGATCCTTAATCGAATTTACGCGAAGAGAAACGTATAAAACTCATTCCAGGCCCAACGAACCATGTAAGTTAGCCACTAGGGCATCACTAAAATGTGAGTCATTTCAAGACCTAATAGGAATGAGGTTTATTTAACATGGGTCCAAAATATATGTGAAAGGACAACTAAGGCTCATTTCACATGTAAGGTATTTACGGACCCAAATAGCATGCAAATAGTATCCAAGGTCCGTCACACATGTTAATGGGTCAAAAAGGCCCAATGAACATATAGATAGTATTCAGGAACTATTAAACATATAAATTGGCCATTAAGGCCCGATAATACAAAAATGATCAAAATTAATCTGTTTGTTAGTTTATTGTTGGTTTGGTTCAATCATTCACTAAACTAGCATAAAAGGCCCAATTTTAGTAAAAATAACACTTTAGTCCCCATTTTGTTCAAAACTTGTATTTATGACTTGTTTTTGGTAAAAATAACATTTTAAACCCATTTTTGTCCAAAATATCATTTTTTGCATGATTTTTGTGAAAATACACATTTTTATGGTTTTTGGCTTTTCTAACTTGGTTGTTGGAAAATTTGTAGAAAAATCATCATATGTCGAAATTTGGATCCGTAAATTCTAGAAGATTGGAAATTTTGTCTACTTTGTTCACAATATATCTAATAATTTTTAATGGCCTCCAACAAGTGTGAAATAGCTCACCTTCACAGGCTGGTCCGAAATTATTTCAAATATGATAGGCAATTTTGTAAAATTCGCCAAAAATTGTAGAAAAATCGTGTGAAAACATGAGAGTAGTCATTTTAAAAGTATAAACCTGAACTTTTTGCACATAAAAGAATTTTGAAAAATATTATCATTAAGTTGATCAAAACAATCCGATATTGGACCAAACTTTTCTGTTAAGGGTTGATTTATGAGTTTAGTTTATACATCTTTGAACATAACACTCATTTTTGCTATTTTAAGTGTATAAGACCTAGATCTACAAGTTTTCATGTATTATATATGATAACATATACTTTCCTCAAGGTTTTCATGTAGATCCAAGTGAAAAACTTAATATTATTACATATTTTTAGATTTAGGAGGTAAATAACACATAATCAACAAATAAGCCATGAGAAACACACATATTCATGCATATACACATAGATCTACACAAAGCAACTTGTATTCTCCCACAAAACAAAGTAAAAATCAAGAAAAATAGAGGGTATGAACTCACTTTGGGGTTTGGATTCGGTTTGATGAAAAGATTGGAGAAGATCTGGACTTTAGCAAGCCCCTTGAAGAGGTTTTTGAACTTGGATGGTTCTAATAAACGTTATCCACAAAAACATGGTGGTAAGAGGTGATTTTTGAAGATATCAAGAAGTTAAATCCTAGATCTAAGTAAGAACTTGCCAAAGTTGATGATCTTGAAGAAGAATCTCTTGAAGCTACACCCAAAATCTCGAAAATTTTGGAGGAAGAATGAGGTTTTTCTAGAGAGAATTCTTTGAAGGATTTTTGAATGAAATGAGGTGGTGTGAGGGTGTTTAGCCGAGAAGAAGAAGAAGAAGAGGGGAGAAAGGGACTGAGGTGATGTGCATGGAGATCCTCCATGCAATAAAGAGGTAGCAAGCTCTCATAATTCCTCTAATTTCCCTTTATTTTTCTTTTCTTTTCCTCATTGGGCAGAGAATTGGGCTTAAGATTGATGAAATTGAATTAGTTTGGCCTACTCTTGGATTTGCTCGATTTTGTGAAGCCCAATAAATATGTTTCGGCCCATTGGGCCCTTAAGCGTATTCACGACCCAATTTGACATAAAAGAATGAATTTAAAGCCTATTAGGGTTAACTGGATTAGTTATGGCACAATAAGGCCCATTAGGGTTAGAATAAATCATTCTAAGTCCAATGGTCCAAAATGTTATAGGTTTATGAATTGGTTCCATTTAGAATCCAAATAGAGTTTCCAAGCCCAAAATAGTTGAATTAAATGCTTATTGGTCCATTAGGCCCAATAAGGAAATCCTAGTCCAATATGGATTCAAACCGGGATTCTTATGGTTTTCAGACTCTTAGTTGAACATGTGAGATGTATTTGAATGAGTATAGAGTATTTACACTAGGTGAATGATTACATGAGAGTAGAATTTCCTAGCAAAAGTGCTAGTTGTGACAGTCAGGCTTGGGCGTCTGTTGAGCATATAAGGTTTTCAACCCACAAATAATAAATTAATTAATTTCATCAACCAACAATAAATTTATTAATTTCATCAAGCAACAATAACCATGACCGTTAACATCACTTTACGTCCCGAAACACCTATCACAAGGGACCTAGCCTAAGGATCAACATCGAGATGGACTTTACTGCTAAGGGAATTCCTCGGCCATATATGTCTGTAAGGCAACCATGAGGGGGATGGAGTACAATGGCGAGTACATCGTTCACAAACAACTATAGGTTGCAAGCCTGCTAGCGTTCCATTATACTGTCTAGAAAGGTCTGTGGTCGTCATTTAAATATCGCTAGATGACTGGAACAACAACAACATCGAGGTCTCTCATCATTTTAACACACATCAATTATTTCATCTACCCATGTTATACCTAACATATTTGTAGATAAAAATACATATATAATTTAAATCATTCTAAACATGTATAAAAACTTCATTCAACATCCATCTCAAATAACAAATAATATTTATACACATGGCATGTATTTTATATAAAATACTTCATATCTATGTGTAAGATGAAAATGACTACACTCTTACTTGATAAAATGGTAATTGGACAGCACATCGTCCTTTAAAACAATCCTTTTCGATGAAACCGAGATGTTTCCTTAAAAACTGGGCTTTACGCGGGCAGAGTTTCGACTCAAAAAACTCTTTTTCCTTGATACTTCGGACTCTCCGGGGCTTTCTTATGATGCTAGGAAGGTATTCTAGGGTTGGGGTATTTATTGCAGCTTAAAAGAAAGTAGAGGGTGGAAAGGTATAAAATTTGTAAACAAAAATCAGATGCCTCACACTTCTATTTATAAGATGATTTTTGGTCTCTCACGTCGTGAGAATTCATTGCTCATGTCGTGAGCCATGGCTGATCATCTCGTAGCTTCGCCATCTACGTTCTAGGATTGCATGGTGTCTGTTTGACTCCTCACGTCGTGAGAAATCCATTGCTCACGTCATGAGCTTTTGAATTATCATCCCGTAGACTTGTCATGCATCTTCTAGATGCGAAATGTGGCGTTTTAACTCCTCACATCATGAGAATTAGTGCTTAGGTCGTGAGTCGAGTCAGATTAGGGTTTTCTGACACGTGTCGTGCTCTCAGACAATGTATCTTCAGAAGGCCATAACTTTTGCATACGAGCTCCGTTTTTTATGTTCTTTATATCCACGCTAAGGTGGAGACGTAAACTACAACCTAAAGTTAAAAAGTTCTCTATCGTAAACTCAATTTTACGATTCCCGGTGTCGTGCCGGTTTTGTCTCAAAACATTGACAGATCATAATTTCTTCGTTATAACTCGAATTTCAGTATTCTTTATATCTCTGGAATTCTTGTAACGACCACTACAACTTTCTTCATAGATATCGACTTTATCTAATGTTTTATATTTATCCTTAATTTATTATAATTAAGTATAAAGCACATAATACTAAAGTAATACATTTTTATTACTTCAAAACAAGTTACAAAGGTTGACCTAGAGTATTACATCATCTTTAATGCTTTAGCCCAGAAACACGGGCGCTACAGATATTAAATCATCAAATAGCAGGTAAATTCAACACTAATTCTAAAAAAACTCTTTGAATCTCCATGTAACAACAAATCATCCTCCTTATCTCCACTCGATCTTTGTTGGAATTCTTCTTGCACTTGTTAATTCGGAGAAGAATGTTGGTAAGATTCGCATTAGAATACATCTCTTTGAAATTAGTATGGAAGAAAATTTTCTTCTTTCATCCCTCTTTCATATTCTTCCTTTGAAACACCATTCCCTTGGGTTTCATCAAAATTTGACCATCCACGTAAGCATTGATATTTAAATCCTCTCTCAACTCTAATTTTGGATTCTTCGGCTTCTTCTTGAAAGTAGTATTAAACTTGAAGTCTATTAATCCCAAGTAAACAAAATATTAGTCAACGAAGTTCTTAATATGCCCATATCAAATGATGTATGTTGCTTCATCTTGAATCTGATAATTGTGAATATCTCCCATAATCTTCACGAACGTGATAAGATCATTCCAGTTTACCAAAGGAAAATCATCAATGGTGAATTCAAAAGGAGTGTTGTTTGGTCTGATAACCTTGTAACGATAGTGTGTCATCAAAAATCACATCCTTTTTTTATTAAAATAAGCATGATTATCTTCTCCAATTACCAGAGCTCTTCTTCTGTTTTTTCCAAGGACAACTCGAAATCTAATCTTCAAGCTTTTATAGTCTTCTCTAGCGTGGTAGTTGTCAGGAAGTTTGAATTGAGAAAATATGAATATTGAAGGATTAAATGCAAAGTAAAGTTGATTGAAATATGATTCGTTAATCAAGTAGCTTTACTTTGGCTGTTTTTCAAAAGCATCGTCTTCTCAATAAGCCACATTCTTAATAGTTTCATAGCACCAAAATTTGTTAATATCTCATTTTTCAAGACCATGTGGGTCATTTTCTCTTTTCCTCATATTGCTATTCATTTGTTTAAGCTTCTCCATCTTTATATCATTCATTCTTTTCTATTCTTCCTCAGAAGGATTAACATGTACACCTTTTCCTTTATTCTTTAAATCACCTTGGGTAACTGGCTTTACTATCGAAGAACCATAACCAAATTTATTAATACTCAATCCATTCTTTAGCTGTAAGTTTGACATATCAATATTCACATTAGGAATCGAATATGTTGTTGTTGTCATTATTTGAACAGTTTTGATTAGGATAAAAGTAGGAATTTGAGTTAAAGGCTTTTCCAAACACAACCGACTTCTCGATAACTCCAACCTTCAACGATCAACCCTTATATCTCCCTGTTTACATGAGCACTAATTGTGGAGCATATGTGGGTAGTAGAAGTACTAAGTCTAGAATTGGAGGTAGTTGTACTTTGAAAGATTCTTCAATCGAAGATATAGTATTAGAAATTGTTTCTTCAAAAACGGAAGGTTTAGAGGACACTAAATTTTTTGAGATATCTTCTTAAAACTTATTTAATGAATTTTCAATCCCCTTAAACAGCTTAGCATCCGATTCATTCTTCTTACTCAACTCTTCCTTGTATTCAAGATTAAATGATCGAATATCTTCAATTAAAGTTCAAGTAGCATAAAGCAACACATCAACATTCTTTTGTACCCCGGTACAAAAAGAAACTATCTGCTTCACTTCTTTGACAACCAAATCTTGTAGTTCTTTGACTTTTAGCTCAACAGAATCCCTGGAATCTTTCATAACATTCTCTAACAACTCATGTCTTTCTCGAGCTGCAGTTTGAGCTTCTGTAAGATCAAGCTTATAAGAAGTCAAATTGTCATCAAGTCTCTACACATGATTAGTCATGACATTGTTGAGTAAGAACTTTATCTTTGTTTATCGAGTCTTCATAAGAGATTCAACATTAGCTCTAGTAATAGAAGTAGAGCCAGTAATATCATTGACAAACTGTAAGATTGAATTAATGTAACACCCAAAAAATCACAAGAAATCTAAACTTTTTAAAAACCAACCCAAATGCACAAATTGTTTACAAACATAATTTTCAAAACATTTCCGAACATCAGCGTCTCCCAAAATCATAAGTCATAAACAAGAGGATGTGTACAATCAAGCTTTTGCCTTCTCACAGTCATCCAAAGTACCTAAAACATAACCCAAAATTGTAAGCCAACGCTTAGTGAGACATCCAAAGTACCAACACATGAACATATAACATATATAATAACAACATGTGAGGTCCAATCAACCATCAGATTGGAATACCACCGAACCAATCAGCCATTGGGCTTGAATGTTAATATAATATGGGTCCAATCAACCATTGGGTTAGAATACCCCAGGCATATTCAACCATCGGGTTGGAATGCTAATCTAAAATAGGTCCTGTCATCCTCGGGATGGAATACCCTCGGGCCCAATCAACCATCGAGTTGGTATACCCCCGGCCAATTGACTTACGCACAAAGTAGTAAAGCCTCAACTACCAATCAGATATGTGCATATATAACAGATAATCATATAAACAGTCTACAGACAGTCATGTAGATCTACAAGCATAACATCATCCTGTTTACCAAGATACCGATCTAACAGATCACTATCGCAAGATAACATACTATCACATAAGAGTATATCAAACCCAAATGGTAGGCCTTAGTGCCTTCGACCCATAAGTACTGTGAGGAAAACTCACATCACAAACTAGACAAAAGCTAATAAGGTCCCGAATCTGAATCTCAGTTCTCTAACCGACACCTACTCCAACTAAATGACTAATATCCTTAAAAATACTGAAATACCTAAAATACCTTTTAGGTCAAACTTGGTCAAACTTGGTTAAAGTCCATAAATCAACTAATTCAACCTAACCGAGTCAACCCAGCCGAGGTAACTCAGAAGCGTATGCGGGGAGTACTCTGTACGTACGTTGGCATACTACTACGCTGACCAAAAATGGGGTCATTGAGTTCGTATGTTGGGTGTAACCCAGGTACGCTAAGTATAACCCCAAACATCTTTTTTTTATCATTAAGGTCTTAATACAATGTCTTAACATGTCCAAATGAAGATCTAAGGTCAAAATGTTATTTGAAGTCATTAAGTTTCCAAATTTATGACCTTCCATGCTCAATGAGTGCTTAATCCATAAAAACCCAACATCTTAATGCCTTAAGACACTCCATAACATGCATGGGACAAAACAACCGTTGGGACTCCATTTTTATGACTAAAGACTCTTCTTAGGGTCTGAAAGGACAACTTAATGGTCAAGAACATGCCATGCTCAAGATCTAACATTTTGGGACCAAAAATATCATTAAAACATGCATTTCAAGATCTATATGATGGAGGGATAAAGTTGCAACATTCATTCCTTAAGAAGCTTGCAAATGATGTAGAAACCCCAGATCTAAAGTCCTTCACTCTTCCAAGATGAGCTTAGCTTCCTTCCTTCCTTCCTTCTTCTTCTAAGCACAAAAACACACACTCCTAGGCTTGAAATAGCTTCTCAAGGTGAACTAGGGTTTCAAAACATAACAAGAGGTATGAAGTTTGATGAGGTTAGGGGAAATGATGCCATACGAGTGTTTAAATACAAGCTAAACCCTAAAAATTAGGGTTTCTATATTTGGAAAGTATGCCCACCGTACAACATGTACGCCTAACGTACTAGGTTATGCCCTAATACACTAAACGTACATACATACGCATGGCGTACTCCCCTAAGAAGATGTAAGAAAATGCCACTAGGGCTCATTTACTCACTTCCTTGAACTTTAGGGACCAAAATGCAACACAAATAAATTATAGGGTTTAAATTAGAAGTACCTTATCACCGGGATGTCACAATTCTCCCCCACTTGACTAGACTTCGTGCTCGAAGTTTTTCGCAATGAATAACTCAGGATAATACTCCTGTATCTCACCCTCCAGCTCCCAATTCCATTTAGAGCCTCTTCGATGTTGCCAATATACTTTTATCAAAAGTATCTCCTTGTTGCGCATGACCTTTATCTTTCTTTCTAGAATAACTACGTACCTCTCAACATAGTTTAGGCGATCATTAACACAAATTTCATCCAACGGAACCACTATCTCCCTTTTCAACACATACTTCCGCAATTGAGAAACATGGAACGTGTTGTGGATCCGACTGAGCTTACTCGGAAAATCCAACCTGTTAGCCACTTTGGTAACCTTGGAAATCACCCAAAATGGTCCAATGTATCGGGGACCCAATTCCTGCTCTTCCTGAAGTATATCACACCCTTCCACGGTGAGACTTTCAGTAGCACCATATCGCCGACCTGAGACTCTAACTCTAATGGTTGTCGATCAACATAGCTCTTCTACCGACTCTGAGTGGTGTGTAGTATCTGCCTGGTCTGCTGGATAAGCTACATGGTCTGAAGGACTACTTCAGTCCTTTCCATAACCCTGTGGCCCACCTCTTCCCAACAAACTAAGGTACAACATATCTAACCATACAATAGCTCAAAAGGCGGAGCATCGATGCTGGAGTAATAACTACTATTGTAGGAGAACTCTATAAGAGGTAGGTAGGAATCCGAACACAAAAATCAATAACGCAGGCCCGCAACATAGCCTCCAGGGTTTGCATAGCCTAATCACTCTGTTCGTCGATGTGCATCTCATATGCAGTGCTAAAATGTAACCTCGTGCCCAGTTCCTCGTGGAACTTCTGCCAGAATCGGGAAGTAAACCAAACATCTTCATCTGAAACAATGGAAACTAGAACCCAATGGCGAGTAAAGATCTACCTGACATAAACATTGTCAAACTTTTCTGCAGAAGAACTCCCTCTGATAGCGAAAAATTAGGAACTTGGTGATAACATCACAATGCTTTATATTTTTCGGGAACTTGGTGATAAAATCCATGGTGATCTGCTACCATTTCCACTTGGGAACCTCCAGAGGCGGAGGCTTTCCATGCGGCCTCTGATGCTCAGCCTTGACCATCCTACAGATCAAGCACCTCTCGACATACCAAGCTATCTCGCTTTTCATACACGTCCACCAGTAACTCAATCTCAAATCCTAATACATCTTTGTGGCTCTCGGGTGTGTAGAAAAGCGAGACTTATGAACCTCCGTTAACACAATTTGCCTAATACCACAAGTAATTGGAACCCAAACCAAATCAACAACCCTCGACTATCCGTGACAAATATGTCAATCTCACCCCTGATCCTTTCCTTTTTCCAGTTCTTCTTCCGAACTCCATCTTCCTGAGCCTCTCTGATCAATCCCAAAAGCAGAGAATCAACAGATATCCTCATACACATTTCCCAAACTGAAGATCCATCCGACTTGTGGCTAAAAGCATCTGCTACAACATTCGCTTTAATCAGATGGTAAAAGATATCGTAGTCATAATCCTTGACCACGTCTAGCTACATGTGCTGCTTCATGTTCAGGTTTGGCTAATCCATTAGATATCTCAAACTCTTTTGATCCGTGTAGACACTACAATAGACCCATATATATAATGTCTCAAAATATTTAGGGCAAACACCACTTCCCTCAACCCCAGGTCATGTATTGGATATCAGTCTCATGTAGCTTCAGCTGACGAGAAGCATATGCAATCACTCGTCCTCTCTTCACAAGGACCACACACAAACCTATGATGAATACATCACATAATAGCACAAAATCCTCGACCACCTCCGAGAAGGTCAACACTAGAACTACTAGAAAATAGGCCTTTTACGACGCTCATTGTGCGTCGTAAAACGCTCAGACGATGCGCAAATGCGCATCAAGAAAGGCCATGTCATAACAAGAGACGACACGCTTTTACAGACGACGTGCATTTATGACACGCAATGCGTATCATTAAAGCCGCTGTCAAGAAAGGTCGTGTCATCAACGAAGATGACATACATTTTTGCGTATCGTAATTTTTATTTTTATTTTTTAAAAATTATTTATAGATTTACTAATTTTCAAATTAAATTTGCATTTCATATCTCATAATAGAAAATAAAATACCATATACAAAAAATACAATCCATTGCACAAAAGTTAATGTCATACAAATAATCATTCCAATAATAGACAAATGTAATTGAGAGAGAAACAACAAAGTTACAACATTCATATTTTTTTTATAAAATCAAACATTCATATAAATTTATTTCATTCTTCTAAATTCTAACCCTTTCTAACATTATAATATATCAACTCAAGAAGGCCCATCTTTCTCAATCCCAAAAGGTGCCTCTAAATGCCAAATCATTGATAAGGACTTTTCACAAACACTTAGCGTGCAAATTAAAGGCCACATAAAACCCATGTAACTTGTTGCACCAGGGATTTGAAGAATTCACTACAAACCATCATAAAGAGGGTAAATCTGTCTTTTTTCACTTTCATGAACAACAATCACAAAAATGTTGCAGATACTTACCTGGGAAACTCTAATTGAATACTGAGTAGCACCGTTAGCAATGTACTCTATAGTGAATTGGGATGACATTTCATCATACCTAGAAACAATTCAAACCAGAATAAGACCATGAAAAACAAGGTAATATCCATGTCCCATGATAAAGTAAGATAAGAGCACATACATGGACAAATGCTTGTCTTCAACAAGAATGGCATTATTTAATTGGACATCATATCTACAATTTCAAACAAACAAATATTAGAGTGAAATAAACATTGAAATGTGGTGTAACTTAACAAACAATCAAATCTGGATGTGTATTTGCATGATATTTTAAATGGATTTAAGGCACTTAAGAAAACAAATCAAAAATAATATTTGATGAGAGTGATCACCAGAAACTTTAGTAGTCAGCTTTATAGGTCTCATTTCCTCACCAAAACTGTACAAATGGTAAAAAGCCATTCCATTAGTAAACTATAACACCCATTTTTTCAATGATATCACATATAGCTTTTGATTCCTTGGATAGGTACCATATATAAGCCATCCAGCTGCAAGAGTCAAACATGGTCAAAAGATTACAACAGAGTTTGACTAATTTAAAGGAATGATGTAGAAACTAAATAACATTGGAAAATCTAGGAGAAACCTAAGTGAACTTCTAACTGCAATATAGTATTGCTAATTTCTGCAACATTTTCAACTCAAATGAGATGTGAGCTACTAGATAGCTTCCAACAGGAACTATTAATTATTAACTGAAACAGTTAAGAAGCCAATTTAACTGCAAAATTCCTAATAATACATTTATTTGAAAAAAATTAGGAGCTTATGCATTATGTAAAAGTGTATTCACATGTGTCAGCAAGAAATATCAATCTCAAACGCTAACTATATGGAAACTTGTGACATATGAATGATGCATGTGATAGTTTACAAAGGGACAAAAAAAACCTAAATGGTGTTACTTTGATGAAAAAGTATCAAGATTTACGAAAAATAAGAAAACTTATCAAACAACCATGTTTTCATTTAATACTTATTCAGACAGAGGAATAAAATGGTAATTATTTATCATTTAGCTCATCATTCACAAATCAAAATACCAATCAAACTATCTGGCTATCAGTTGCCATACATGCACAGTCCAAATAAGTGAATAAGTAACACATAATCAACCCTAATAGTGGATCATACAAGTATAATAAATATGGTTATTTGTTAATTTCTCAGCCCATGTTATGTATCCTAATATTTGTTTCCTTATGTGATTAACACAATCAATCCCTTAGGTATCCCTTTTTCTACACCCAACAAAATCCTTATAAACTTATAGATATGAACTAGCACATCAGATAGATATAAATATTAAAATAAATATGAAGGGGTAATTATGGAAAACTTACGACATCAGCTACTTGAAGAACCTCATCCATTGATGATGCGCTTTTCCATGTGATAGGTTCTTCGCTACTGGCTTTCAAGAATAGACCATAAGATGTAACAAACTTCTCTAGATGTGTGACTTAGTAAAGATCATAATAAATTAAGTTCATCTTGAATCCTTCAATCTGATAATTAACCAAAAGTTTTTCTTTTTCAAGTTTAGTTTAATCACAAAAGGGTAAGATTGTAAATTCCAACCCTTACCATCATTCTAGCGTATGCAGATCCAATACGACCTGCTCCAATCACATCAACAGTTTGTCCTTTAAGTAAATTCCCCACAAACCTGCAACAAATTAATAAAGAGTAATTGTTTAAACAATTCAATAAAGGAGAAAATGTTTTGGTTTTGGTGAAGGGTAAATATGAGATTTTATAGATGTGGACGCCATCCATCGTATAGGCTAGCTCTCATGAACCCATCAGCTTCAACTATCCTTTTTGAAGTAGCAAGTGAAAGTGATGTTGCTAACTCTGTTGTGGTCTCTGTAAGTCCACCCTATGCATAAATCATAATTTTTGAAGCTTTAATTCCGATTGTTGGTTTTATGAAAAATAATAAAAACTTATACTTATATTCTTGATATCATTATGAAGTATGAGTCATACAACAAAATCCCAACCCTAAAACGATTGATAATCATCGAGGCACACAAAAAAATGAAACAATCAGACATAGTTGTAGGAATTGAGGTAACCCTGTTTGACAGAAATTGGGAAAGTCAACATCCCGGAAATTAGCATCAATTGCAACAACAATTGTAGGAATCAGAAAAACCCAACACTTGGGAATCGACAACAGGGGATTCGACCAACAACTCCAAAATTGATTTTTGAGGAGTAACTTCACTGATTTATCAGGCCAGAGAATCGATTTTTAAATTGAAGAGCAAACTTCACTGTCGTAGAGGAGGGACTCCACTGGCTGGGTCTCGCTAGAAAGTGCCGGAGAGGAGGGGTTGCGGGCTGGGTGTCACTAGAAAGCGTTGGACAGTGGGGCGGGGCTGGACGGAGGTCAGAGGTGGGAGGCGACAGCGCCAAGAGAAACATCGGAGGTGGGAGTAGTTATCGACGTCGAGAATTGAGAAGAAGAGAAAGGGTTTGTCGAAGTGAGAAGAAGAGAAAGGGACGTCGAAGAGAGAAGGAGAAGTAGAGGAAGGCGTACATGGCAAGTACTTGAATTATTTAGAGGGAAGCAACCGGAGATCACTTTTCCGGTAGCGATCTCCTTCACATGTATGTGATGGTGCGAGTTTGCTGTGGGAGAAAAGATGAGAGTATATTAGGGTTTTTTTGGGGTATTTGAGTTAGGGAGAGAAGAACAATGGAAAGAAGGTAATAACATGGCGGGCCTTTCAAACGTTTAGGAATTTCGTTTCCCCCAAAAGAAGTGACCACGCGTTTCATTTAAAAAATACAAAGTGACATACTTAGAGGACATGCATTTGATGTTATGTGCCCTCCGTGTTTTTTCAATGTGACACTTATTGTAGGACGCGCAAAAATGCATGCCCTAAATCCTTCTAATTTTTGGAGAGCCGACACTATTTTTGGGACACACACTATTGCGTAATATAAAATAACACGTGTCATGGTTCGCGCGTCGTAAAAGGCTATTTTTCTAGTAGTGTAGAGCCTCACATAAACTTTGCTAAAAAGTCTCAAATGCCAACTGCTTCTCAAGGCCCCATCAGAAATCCACCCCCTTCCTTATCAGAAGAGTGAGGGGTACAACAATCTTGGAGAAGTTCTAAATAAATCTATGATAGTACCCTATCAAATCCAAGAAACTCCTGATCTCTGAGGGAGATTTCAGAATCTCCCACTGCATCACAACTTTGATCTTGGTCGTATCGACCAAAATCCCATCCTCGTTAATGAGGTACCCGAGGAACTAGAGCTCACGTAACTGAAACTCGCACTTCGAGAACATGGCATAAGCCCGTTCTCACCTCAAAACACCTATAAGCTCTCAAAGTTGCTCCACATGATGCTCGCTAGCCTCCTCCCTCATGTTCACTTGATGATACACATACCTCAAATCTATCTTGGAAAACCAAGATGCACCCTGCAACTGATCAAATAGGTCATCAATTCATAGGAGGAGATAACGTCTCTTCACCATTTACTTGTTCAACTCCTGGAAATCAATGCACATCCGTTGTGAACCATCCTTCTTCTTGACAAATAGTATTGGAGCTCCCACATAGAACTATTCGGTCTGATGAACGGGTTGCCTAGCAGCTCCTACGGATAAGATGACAACTCATGCATATTAGACAGTGCCAAGCGGTACGACTCCATTGCAATTAGTGCTGCACCTAGCACAAGATCAATCCTGAATTCAATTGGCATCTTAGGAGGTACACAGGGTATCTCCTCTGGGAAAACACCAGCAACTCCTAAACAAACGGAACCTCTGAAACTGAATTCGGCTCCCCAACCCGAGTATCAAGAACATAAGCGAAATAACCTGCACACCCATGTTGAATATACTGTCGAGCCTTGGTTTCCGAATAAACCCCTGAACGAACCATAGTGTTGTCTCCATAGTTAACCAGTTCTCCCCCATTTGGGGTTCGAACTACCACTCACTGGCACTCACAATCAATCATGGCAAACCTGCTCAGCCAGTCCATACACATTATCACAAATACACCCCATGGGGATAAGGATCAAATTAGTTGAATAAGGCAATCTAAAAATATCCAATATATTGTTGGATTAGGTGTCTAAGTTCATAAGTATTTATGGATTGTACTTCACCCGGTTGGCATGTCAATTTGGGTTGCATGGCATTGCAACACTTAGATCGACTAAATGAGAGAAAGGACACTTAAGGTTTAATAATATATTATAAGTTCTAATATATTAGTAATATTATTTAATTAGTATTGATCAAAGAATCAATTTAGAATCAATTAAGTGATCAAAAAGAGACTAATTAAATATATATGGGCTTGATTGTGGAACTCATCCATTCTTGAATAGTGGGCTAATGATCCATGGTTTATATGTCTTGGGCTAAAAACCCATGAGTTGCTCCGTGGATAGTCCATGGAGGTTATAAACCCATGGATCGTGGAATAAGAAAGGCCATGCACGTTATGGTTTACATAGAGTAACCCTACATGCGGGACACTATATAAGAAACTCCATAGCAAGCAAAATCGGCTACTAAGAAGAGAACAAGAGGGCTAGCTGATTTTGAGCTGTTAGTGAACTTCTCTCAAGGTTGTTCCAAGTGTTGTAGTGTTGTGTGAGACATTTGAGGCATCACACTTGAGGTGCTAGGCTCACAAGGTTCTTAGGGAATCCAAGCAACAAAAAGGTATGTTCTTCTACTAGCTATTATGTTTTAAAGTTCCCCATGCCATGCTAGCTACGTTAAAAACCTTGGAAAAATCAAATTTGCAGGTATATTAGTAAAACATAAATCCAAGGTTTCTTGGGTTTCATGTTAACCTTTGGAGTGTTAGAATTCTCAAAATCCTTCAGTGGTATCAGAGCCTTGGCTTGTTTTCTTGATACTTCATGCAAACTTGTTGAATAGACTTAAAAAAACTGCTATCTGCTGAGTGAACTCGCTGACTCCATGGGGGGGGGGTGTCTCGACGAGTCTATGTGTTAATTTATCCTACTCGTCGAGTGGGTTCTTGCATTCGACGAGTAGGAGGCCCTGGATGTAGTTTTTTTATTTTTGCTGCTAGAAATGGACTAGAAACATTACCCTAAACTGTTTTGGTCTTATAATACTTGTTTTAGATGGTGTAATGGTTATGCTAATCCATTTACAATGGCTATTATCAAAATTTCAAGTTTTGTATGTGTTATTTATGATTCTTGAAATTATTGATATGAACGTTCATAAACTTCTGAGTTTAGAAGATCATAGGAATTATTTGAAAACAATTTGTTAGTTTAATTCTTGATCTTGATGTGTTTTAATGGAATCCATAATTTGTCCTCAAGTTATGGATTACCAAAACTCATTCTTTTAAAGTTCTTTAATAAACACATAGAGTACATAAAATGAAAAGGCCCTCATTTTAATAAACCATTAACAATGAAAGATGAAAAGTTTTGAAAGTTACAAAACTTGCCCTCAAGTTTTGGAAAATATAAAGTCACTTTAAAAAACTTTAGTTCCAACCCCTAGAATTTTAAAAGTTAAAATTTAACCCTTAATATTACATTTGGGTGTCTTATTAAGGACTATCTTTATATCTAATCTATACTTGTCTTTCTTTTTCAGATGTCTTCCAACAATGCTGCTTCTGGCTCAAACCCTACCAACTCCTTCTCTCTCATGAACCTTTGTGGGAGAGTCATCCTCAATGGTTCCAACTTTATGGATTGGATCTGGAACATCAGGATGGCCACTCTTTACAAGGACAAGGAATATATCCTCGACAAGGAGCTTAAGGAACTTGATTAGTCATCTGCTACTCCTAAGGAGATCGTTGAATTTCGGACTCATGAGAGAGATGCCACTAAAGTGACATGTATCATGATGGCCACGATGACATCCGAGCTCCAAAATCCTTATGAGGACTATTACCCTTTTGAGATGCACCTAGATTTGATGGACCGCTATCATCAAAGTGCTCACTAAGAGAAGTAGCACATCCTCTCCTCCACGATTACAACCTGGATGAAGGATGTTGAACCCATCACAAGCCACTTATGGAAAATGCAAAGGTATGTGGACCGTTTACTGAAGCTAAATGTGAACTTCCCCGAGGAGTTGGAAATTGACATCATTTTAAACTCCTTACCTTCTTGTTTTGATCAATTCCGAATGACATACCACATGAACAAGGAGGAAGTTACACTCATCAAACGTCAAGGACTCTTGAAGACCATCGAAAGTGGTCTTAAGGGTAAATCGGTTGTTTCCACTCCTACTCCTATCGTGGCCCCTATATTGGCAATCGGGCAAGGCAAAGGAAAGAAGGGGAAGAGCCCTTCGAAGGGTACCAAGGGAAAGTCGCTTGATGAATCCTCTTCAAATGGAACCAAGAAAGGTTCTGTCACTCCTTCATCCAACCCTAAAGAGGTTGAATGCTTCTATTTCCATGAAAAGTCGCTCTAGAAGCGAAACTGCCCAAAGTACCTACAAGATGTTAAGTATGGGAAAGTGAAACCCAACCATGCAGGTATTTACACTATATTGTCTAATAACTCACACCATTATAAGTCTTGGGTCCTTGATACAGATTGTAGTATTGACATATGTTCTGATTTGCAGGGACAAAGAATAAGTGAGAATGTGGAGCATGGGAAGATAAACTTGATCATCGGGAATAGAAAAGCTTCACCTGTTGCCAAGATAGGAGTTTATTCTTTGTTGCTAAGTAGTGGGTTAGTATTAGACTTGAATAAATGTTGTTACTCGTCTGAAATAGCAATAAATATTATTTCCTTTCATGGTTTGTACAAACAAGGGTTTACCTTTTCTTTTGATAATGAATGTGGTGGTATTAGTGCTTTCTTTAACAATGTTCTTTATTTTAAAGCATTACCTTGTGATGGTGTATATGAAATTGTGTCGGTTGTAAATAACCTAGGAAATAATGTGTTGTGCAATGATTCTACTATTAACTTGGATAAAGCATCATTATGGCATTGTCATCTTGGACATGTAAGCAAGAAACGCATAGGCCAACTCCAAAAGGATGTAGTTTTGGATTCATTTAACCTAAAGTTAGATGATAGTTGTGAATCTTGTTTGCTTGAGAAAATGACAAAGTTATCATTCACTGGTACTTGTGCTAGGGGTGAGGGTTTGTTGGACCTCATACATACTGATGTGTGTGGAACCTTTAAAACCACCACAATGGATGCTAACCGCATCTATGTGACTTTCACCGATGATTATAGTAGATATGGATATGTCTTCTTAATCAAGCATAAGTCAGAAACCTTTGAAAACTATAAGGAGTTTAAACAGGAAGTGGAGAATCAGCTAGCTAGGAACATTAAGATGGTTGGATCTGATCAAGGTGGTGAGTATCTTAGTATAAAGTTCCTTGACTATCTTAAGTAAT